TAAATATATATTTATTTATTTATAAGCCTACTATTAATTTTGATTGATAAATACAGGTAACCCCCGTATAACACAGNTATTTTGCAAAATTCTGTATAGATTAATTAATTTTATACACGAAATGGATTTAATGTCAATTTTTAAGAAAAATGACATAAAATAATATTATTTTATAATATTAATAGATACGTAATAGATAATAGATTCAAGTAAATAAAATAATTAGAAATAAAGCAGTGACGACACTAAATACAGTAGACAATCGAATGGCCGAGCAGTTAAGGTGGTATATCGCTCTGAATGATCCGCGATCAATTCAAAAACTTTTCGGGGGTGTCCGTCCTGGATACATTGGTCCCTGTCGCTCATTTCCCATCGTGAACATGAACATGCTAACAAAAGCCTTCTTAGAGTTACGAGCAGAAAAAAGACATGAAGTATAGCATCGCTGATGAACTAATTCGTAAGCATGAAATATGCAAAATTTTTGGTTTATCTTTTTAAAACCTTATTTAATTCACCTATATCATCTAAATACTTTATATAATTGCACTGCAGATGATTAAAAATTCACAACTTTTTAAAATCTCTTTTTCTTCTAGGGTTCAAACGATTCGCTTTTGTAAGACCAATCGAGAATTTAATTGAAATCACCCCATTTTTAAAGATTGCATCCTTCAGTTTATCAGATCTGTTACTTTTTCAGCATCAGGTTTATCGAACAACATTAGCTTGAAAACTGACACTGCCAACTTTTTTCAAAATTTCAAGGACCAATGCCAAATTTGAATCCGGTATGATTTGTATAGACGCAGTTTATATGAATAAATTAGCAACAAGATACCAAAGAATGAATCCGTGGATAGATAGGAAAACGGTAATAATAGAAGTATTAAAAGTAAATAGTCGTATGCCATTTATCATCTCAAACACGAGATTTCTAGACTTGCTGCAGACTGTCACTTTTTTAGATTACTTCCGTTATGCGTGTACTAACGGGGTCTTTATCGTGCCCATGGTGAATTTAGTAGGCCCACAGTAGAGACGACCGAGTAGCGAAGGACGAAACTTAAAATACCCAGCTGACCATCCTTGAAAATTTATGAGAATCCGATCTGGTTGTTATGGACTACCACTTTTCATTTTCCATTTTAAATGTTAAAGTTGCTGCATTGTTTATGACTAAACTTCAAACTGTGTGCAGGGAGGGGATATAAGAGAATAATCGATTTATATCTAATATTTTATTTTGAACATCAATGTACTTCTGGTACATGATTGAACTATTTTTGCAATTCTCTGTCAAATCTTGTACTCTGTCTTTTTAAGTTAAAACAATTAAAATCCTATACTGTAAATAAAATGCATAGATAAGATACATTGTTCAATCCTAAATGAAATATAAAACTTACATCACTTTACTCATTTACTGAGAAACTCGAAGAAACTGTATCAAGGTTGAACCATCCATGAAATTTTCTGAGATAACCCTTTCTGAAATCAAATACCAGGACCTCCTCGGCCACCAGGCCGTCAAATTTAGTTCATGATAATGGGACATAACTGCCCATTAAAATCTCTGTATTAAAATTTCTAAAAGTATAATCCGACCTCAAATCCGAATCTGTATATACATATTTAGTAAGTTTAAGTAGAAGAATTAAAATAAATTCCCACGCTATTTGAACATTTTTATAAGATACTGTACTTTTCTGTTCTATTTATGATTTTATTGATGTAGAAATATAGTTACAAATATTTTTATTGTTTTTAACAATTTTTCACATATTGTTTTCGCTAAATGTTGCAATGGAGTGTAAAAACAAAATTTACTAATCCTGTTATTAAAATCTCAGAATGTATTTATTTTTTGTGAAGATTTATTGGCAAAATCTGCGGTGTCAGTAATCTCGATATCCGTCTAAAGCTAAGTCTATTCACATAAGTGATTTATTCGAGAGATTCGGCATCGCTCATGCACATGAATACAGCTGAGTATCCGTATGAGCGATTTTGCTACGCCAAGTCAGCATATAATCATGTGACTTCCATGCGATTCGCACTGTCGATATCCACTAGTTCTGAAGCCCTAGATAAAAAAAGTAACGATACGATTTTTCATTGGCTTTTGTAGACAACTGCAAAATTGTGATCTTATTTTAAGGTATTACTGCACTTATTTATTATTTTACTGTCTCTTTACAGAGCATTCGGAATTCTGAAGCAAGGATACTCATATCTTTTCAGCTAGTAGTTATTCGCCAAATAACGACTTATCCAATTTGGCTATAACCTTTGTTGTGTAATTCGCCATAAACGAACACAAAAGTGAAGTTTTTAATTTAAAAGAAACTACATTTGTAATTTCATAACAATAAAAGGTGTAAATTAATCATTTAAATTTAAAAATAATATTAGGTAATTTATGGACTATCCCTAAATCCGCTCCTGTCAGACCATCTAATGCTGAAACTTTTTTTATTCATCCAATTACCATTTAGAAAACATTACCGAAGATTTTTCTACTGTCCTCTAACTCGAAATTTATTAAATAGTATTTTAAATTTACACGAATATCAGTTTAATTAATAGAAAACGAATTACTAAACTATTAAGTTAAAAAATGAAGCAAATAAAACAATTATTTTTACTTTCAATTTCATTTGAAAAATTGCGGAAAGTAATGCCATAGTGTTCATATTGAAACAATAAACGCATGGATTGAAAGTACAGAATATGAATAGAAGAAAACTAAAAGTGAGGTATTTTCTAAAGATGCTCTTGATGACTAGACAAAGAAAAGCTTTGATGAGTTCGTAATTTCAATTTAAAATTGGCATATGACCCTCATCCGTCTTCAAATTGCCTATTAAACAAGATAACTGGGCGGGTTATCAGCACAAAATTACGGTACTGTTATCATTTATCTAGATTCTATATTTAAGCCCATCTCTTTTCAATTAGTTTATATTCAGTTACCAATACAGTTTGCTGCATTTTTAAAAGTATGATTTATGTTCTGTTTTAGTTTAGATCATAAAAACTAGAAGCAAATACAATTGACGATTTAATAAATCAGATAATACATTTCAAATTCACTCTATTTGGTCCCTATGACTGTGGAGTTTTAGCTTATTGCAAATTAAAATAACACATGCATTTTTTACGGAGCTGCAAGCTTTAACCCTTCTAAGTATTAACACTGCATAAATACATAATATAAATTTCCATTAGTCTCGTTGTCTTGAATGCCTGTCCTTATTTAATCTCGAGGTCGGAGTTGTGGAGACTAAATAAGGAAAGATTAGGAAACGGAGGCCGAGATCAACTATAGGCTATACAAACTTCTGGTATGGACCGGATGTCGCTTTTCGTCAAAAAATTTCTCTAGAATGGAATTAGATATATGATCGGCATGACTATTGTTAACAGGAAAAGTATGATGTACAGGATCAAGAGCATTTACTGTATTTTAAATTAAATTAAAAATTGCATCCTGGCATTCTGATGATGTCACAATAAATAACTGCTCCTATAATTATAGTTTATTCTCATCTTTTTACTGGTTTGACTGTTTTTCATTGAGAATATCAGCTTAAATTAGTTTCAAAATAGCACTTGGCAGAAAACAAGAAAATAAAATTAGTTGCTAAAGCCCTGGGTGGGGGAGGGGTAGCTCACTATTGTTACAGATATTAGAATGAATAAAACTAAAGTTAGAGGTGTGCGAGTTAATTATCAACAAAACAGATATTTTAATGAGTTTTTATTTCTTGTTCAATTAAACATTTGAAAACCAAAATTATGTAGTGTATATTTGATTGTCTCAGAAAATCCTATTTAAATGTTTATGTTTCTCTAAAAATTTAAATCAACATATTTAGTAAACTGCAAAATGCAATTAACTTTTGATTAATTGTTCTGTTATAAACCTATTAGTAAATTTAGAAAACTGATTCTTAATTTAAATTATGGATTCAGATTCTGCTCTCTAGGAGATAATTTGTTTGACTTCCAAAGAGCAATCAAATTATATCTGGGGTCACAATAAAGAACTAGGGATTACTTGGAGTTAGTAAATAAATAATTGATATAGTATTAATTATTGAATTTTTAAAATAAAAACTCAATAAAAAATAATTTTTATTTTATGTTTTATTTCATTATTATTTTGTGTCATAAAAAGGGAATGGTCAATTAAATCTGATTTTGAAATGAGTCAGCAAACAAAAATAGTTGGAAACATGATTTAAATTAGAATTATTTTAAAATCTAATGATGACAATGTTTGTTTCCTTTTATACTTAAAAGGATCATTAGGAATATTTTACATACTGGTTGCTTTAATCTTTTTATATGTATTCAGTTGGCTATATAAATAAAAACATTAAATAATCTTAAATTTTAATCCTTTACAGTATTCTTTCAGCCATCTCTCAATTTGACAACTAGAAATCATTAAAGCAGTCGTTGATAGATGCATTTTATGTCTTTGTGAATGTTTAATAGTTTCATTTCAAAATGGAGATGGAAAAATCATCAAATCTATTTCATATCTTTGTCTTGAACACTATCTGTAGATCAGCATTTCATAATTCAATCCAATCATAAATTGACCCCATATTTAATGATTTTTAACAGCTTGTAGTCTGCTTTAAATCCACAAAACTCAAAAACAATATAAGAATGGGCTTACACAATCATTATTTTTCAAATCATTTAGAAACAAATTTCTAACAGTTATTTCCACATATATTCAACTGATAATTTTCCAAATATTTTATGAGCCCACCAGTGGCCAAGTGGATAAAACCACTGAACACTGATAGTTGGTCATGGGTTTACCTTGCCAATGGGTTGGCCACATGGAGATTTTCCAGGTTTTCTTAGTTTTTGTAACACTTAAATAGTGATCAGTTTCCCATAAAAGTCTTTCCAGGAGGCATCCACCCCTTGGTCGCCCATGTCGCATTACTGTAATCAAATAAACCAAACCAATTGTATATTTTATAGAGTCATATCTTGCTAATATTGTGAGTTACATTCCAGCTACTGCCAAAAATCTGAAGAATTATATTAAAATCCTTTATTATATAAAATATTACAATAAATACATATGTATAAATTAATATGGAACTTATTTATGTACTTTATCCAAACTCTTCTTTTTGGCAGCTCTTCTTCTTTTAATTATTTCGTACTCCCACTTTTTACGATGCATAGTGTAGAGACGCATGGTTGCTTGAGCATCTTGTACCTATTAAAATATCAAATTTTTTTAATGGTTGCAGAAAATTAATACAATTTAAATTAGTGCCCCTTAAACAACCTTTAAATTTAAAAAAAGTGCTCTTGCACTATAAAAAATTGTGCCCATCCATCAACAGAAAAATACAGTAAAACCCTACTAATTCAGACTAATGGGGGTGAAGGTTGTTCAAGTTAGCAGAGTGTTTTCTCCAACAACATGGAAAAATAAAAGGTGGATATAAAGTACAGTAATTTATTACAATCAGCTTTGTACTAATATTTTACTGACATTTATAAACTTATCCTGCTGAATTTATTACTACAGGAAATTAGCTAAAAAATTTCATGATAGTTTTTAGTATACAGCAAAGTACAATCTTTAGTAACTTACCAAATATAGTAATACACTGGCAAAAATCGAAAGTGTTACACCCATCCAATATTGTCAAAGACATATGAAATTGGACAAAAGAATCTCTTTTTGAAGGGTATTGAATGATCAAAAATTAAATGAAGTACATACGGTGCATGGTATAGAGTATGGAATTATGGAAATAGAAGTATGGAGACATTTGTTATGCAAAATTGCTATAGGGTTTAGTTTATAAGTTGTGAACTGTGTTATGGAACATGACTTTTTTTGGTCCACGTGTTGTTGGTGACCAGCTATGCCATATCTAAGGGAAAACTCCATACACCGAAATGTCGGACTTTGAAAGAGGTTGGATAATTGGCATGTCAGAAATGGGAGCATCATATTGTGAAATTGCCTGAAGGACTGGCTGTGGTACAATGTCAATACAAAGATGGTCACATAGTGGATGCAGGAAGGGTCCAGCACTCGCAGACCTGGCACAGTTTCACGCAGAAGGACAATACCAAGTGAAGACCGCCATATTGCGCGGATGGCAGTTGCTGACAGATGTGCGATGGCAGCACAGATCCGAGTAGTAGTTACTGCCAGAGTCACCACCAGGACAATTGTAAATCGATTGCTTGATGCTGGGCTGAGATATCAAACCCCCATGCAATGTGTTCCCTTAACCAGATTTCATCACCAACAATGGCTAACATGGTGTGCTGCTAGATGTAATTGGACACATGAATAGTGTACAGTGGTGTTTAGTGATGAATCCTGATCCTGTTTAGGCCAACGTGATAGTTAGCAACAAGTCTGCCAGCATACTGGAGAAAGAGCCCATGCTGTGATTTCAGAATGCCACTCAGGTCCAACTTTTGGTGTCATGGTTTGGGGGCAATCAGTTACGACAACAGGACCAAGTTGGTGGTTGTTGAAGGCACAATGACTGCCCGCCAGTATGTGGACAGGATGATTCATCCAGTAGTCATACCTTTCATAAACACCATGCAAAATGGTATCTTCCAACAAAATAATGCCCGTCCTCATGCTGCTGCCATCACAAGACAGGCCTTGTAAAGTGTTGCAATCATGGATTGGCCCGCCCGGTCTCCAGATTTATTCCCCATAGAGCATGTCTGGGATGCCATTGATAGATGGATTATGTCTCATAGCCATCCAGTGTGCACTGTACAACAACTGATTGCACAAGTTGTGCAGGTATGAAGAGATATACCCCAACAAGACATTCAAGCACCTATTGATTCAATGCCCGCAGGGATCCAAGAGTGTATCCATGCTCAAGGTGGGCATTTCCTCTTACAGAAACATGTACCAAACAGCAATAAAACTTTGCAAAATTCATTTCAATTTGTGTTCATTTCTTCTGGATATGCTCCTGTACATATTTACTAAGTTTCGTGAATTTCTATCAATTCCATCTGGTGTAACACTTTCAATTTCCGCCAGTGTATAATGCATAGAAATGTAGACTTCTAGATATTGAAGACACTCATTATTTATATTTAATAAAAATGGCCAGAACAATAAATATAAATGAAAGAAAAATTAACACTATACAATAAAAAGTCTTCTTTTGTCCTTTCTCACACCTCAGGAAATCGGGTATGAGAAGTCAGAGGAAAAATAACACAATTAAATACCCTAATAATAAATTAAAACATGAAAACAATAAAATATGTAACTACTCTATAAGAAAATGAAAATTGCATTAACTGGTTGCACAGCATTGACTTTGGCATTTTAAACATGGCTGCTAGATCTGCCAAATGTATACTGCTTCTACGGTTTGCAATAAGTTCTTTTTTCATTTCAATCATTGATATTACAACTTTCCTCTTAAGACTCTAAGAACTACAATAGCTTTATTTATACATACAATAGCTTTATTTACAGAAATAATATTAAAAAAACAAGAATTAAAATCAAACTTACAGAATTATGTTCCCCTTCTTGAATTTTTACTTTTAATACCTCTCTTGCCAAAGTTTTTAAAGATGGCGTTTTACCTCTTGTTAATGATCGGAAATATTTGTATCTACTGGTGTCTCGAATTTTGCTTTTGGGATGATCCAAATAAAGAACCTGCATTATGTTAAGATAATGTAATTCTTTGCAAGTTGCATTATATATTACAAATAGAGAGCTATGTTACAAACAAATTTCCATAAAAATTAATTCAAGTAAAAATTAATAATACAGAATGTTAAAAATTCAATAAGTTATAATTATTATTTAAAATAGTTAAGACATTAGTCAGCTAAAATTATGTTGTATTATATAACTTTTTGTGTTTGAGATTATTTCTTTCAAAGATAAGAGAAATGAAAGAGTACAAATGGAAAATAGGAGAGAGAGTGAAACATTCATGAGGCATTATACCCCTCTAAATTTAATTTTATGTACAGAAAATTGTTTAAAATTATGTAACTACAACTAACTTTACAAAACATTAATGTAGAAAATAAATTTACATACATAGCACTAGTGGAAGTTGCTATTGTATTTAGATAATGTTCTTCACAAATAAATTAATTAAAATCTCCAGTAATAGAGAAATTTAATGTTTGCAATTTATGTTGTCATCATATTTCAAAACTTGTAAAGTTTTGAACTATCTTGTAGAAAAAAAAATTTTTTAGTAGATTATATCATCATTACCTTTAAATCATTATTTACAGCATGTCCAACAAGAATCCTTTGCTTTAAAATATCATATACTTCTTTCTGTACAACTTCAAATTCTTCACCTGTTACAAAACATTTTATATATTTATGAAATATTCATAAGAAATATCTTAAATAAATAACAATGTAAAAAAATTAAATATTTTTTAACTTTTAAAATGCTCAAATTGATAATGAATGAAACAAATATACAAATATGTTTATTATATAGCAAATAAATACAATTGATTACAACTATTTGTTATGTAATGAATACAGTAATACCCTGACTTACACAAACCCGGAGTTACGCAATTTTCAAATCTCATTGATTCGTCTTTTGTTTGAGAGCCACACAACCCTTGATTACTCACTCCCCCCACATTATTGTTCAGCTTACATGTTCGGATGTGTCGTGCGGAATCGACACATAGCTACAATTTATTTTATGTTATTTATTTCTGTGTTTGTTATATCTATGGAGACTCAAGAGACTATACTATGTCATCCAAACGAAGTAGAACTAATTCTTCTGCATCAAACAAGAAAAGAAAAACTTTATCTTTGGAATGTAAAGTTAATTTGGAATTTAAAGTCGAACAAGTTAAACGAGAATGACGTCATCGTTATTCCTATTTTGTTAGACTTTTCGAATGATTCGTTACTAACGCATTTAACTCGTTTGACTACGAACATACCCATTATTAAAGACTTCGATACAAAAATGAAAATTTGTGAATTGGCAAAGAAGTTTGATCTACCGAAATTGTCGGTCAGAACAATTATAAAAGGCAAAGAAAAAATTCTCGAAGCTGTGAAAAATGCTCAATCTTTAAATTCAAGCATCATTCGTAAACATCACAGTATTATCGCTGAGATGGAAACAATGTTAAAATTATGGCGTAATAATCAAGTAAATGTGAAAAATTGTAAAATAATATAGGCCTAATTTGTTATACATATGTATTATCTAAGATTTTATTAAACATTATTTTCTAAATTATTGTTTTCTTTAGTCTCCGGCCCCAATTAAAAATTATTTGTATGTATTTATACGCGAAATTATACCCCGACTTACACTAATTCGACTTACACGGTTACTGCTCGGTCCCACCTATTGCGTAAGTTTGGGGTATTACTGTATGTGTAATACATGTTAGCTCTCTGTGAAAAGAACTGTAAAAATAGTTCTATATAGAAGTCTATTTCTAGACTTTCAGACATTTTATTTTTGTATACATTTCTACAAATGCATTAGTCTGAAAGTCATGGAACTTCCTACATTATGCTCCAACTGAATAAAATATGCTATTTAATAAACTTGTCAAGATAATGCATCAACATATAATGATAAACTTGATTCAGTCAAAAAAGAAATGGGAAATATCTTTTTGTTTCGTAAGCACTATAAAATGCAATTAATAGAATACTAGGCATCCAAAATAACATACCAGTGAGCCTGTTACTGGTGTGCATCTCTTACTAAATCAACCGTTACAAATGTTTTCGAACTCACAAGTTCTTCTTCAGGTAACATACAACTTCTGAACAAAATGTGATTCAAATTAAATTGAATTGGAACACCAGCTGAAACTCAATTGTGTGGACGTCGATAACATCACCCAGGCATGTGCCGTATTATCTATAATACTTTAATGTAAGTTCTTGGCCAAGAGCGCTTGCCAGGCCATAGATAGAGTGATTTCATTTTTATAGTTAATGCAATTACCATCCTTAAGTGTAACCATGCTTTAGTAAGAGACACACACTGGTAATAGGCTCACTGGTATGTTATTTTGATTTAATCTGGTGTAGTAATATTGTATTTCACTAAGCATCCTTTCATCCTTTAATTTGTTCATTTAGTTGATATACATTGTTTACATGTTTCAGGCCTTATGTTGACCCTCTTCAGTCAACTTCAAATATTTATTTTATTTATATTTAAATATTTATTATATTTCGGAACTGATTATAATTGATGTTTAAACATATTTTACAGAGTAGGTGTATAAACGGGTACAGATTAATATTTTCAGCTGTTGTAACACTTTCAGGATGATTTGGTTGATATTCTACAATGAGGAAATATCTTGTTAAAAATAAAGTATTTCATGCTGAAAAAACAGAATTTAGCGGGTATGTAGGAGCATTGCTATTAATATTTCTCATACATTAGCAGCATGGTGAAACTACTCCAGATAATGGTATCCACCAGTATGAGCCCATCCAAGGAGAGACAATGTTATTCTCTCCTTAGTCATTGAATTTCTGACATTAGAAAGTTAAACCCAGTAAAATTCATCATCAGAGGCACTCATATCTGCACTCTGAACCAATCTGGGTATGTATCCAGTGGCGTACCGTGGGTGTTAGCCGCCCGGGGCGGAGGAAAATTTCGCCCCCTCTTTTTAGGTATTTCAATTTAAAAGACCAAAATTCAGTTTTATCACAGAACAAGCAATGAAAAATTCGGTGGTAGTGCAGCGACCTGTTTAAAATAGTTCTATTGGATATTAGTGGTGTATGCGAATGAATCGTACAGGCAAAAAAAAGGTCAACAGGTTTCGCAGGAATTCTGCCGATGAAAAAGCTACTAGCTCACCCGGCGAGCCGATTCCCGGACTCTCCGGATGATAGCACTATCGTAGGCGCGATGTAAGTATAGATTAGGATGTTTCAAATTTTTACAAGATATTATTATTATTTATTGTGAAATTTTGCCGCCCCCTAAAAAGTGCCGCCCGGGGCGGGCCGCCCCTGCCGCCCCCACTACGGTACGCCACTGTATGTATCCATTCTTGCAAATCAAGTACACCCATAAATATTGACTGTCTTCTCTGGAGAGGATGGGATCTTCCAACACAACAATTTGATAAATCATATGGCCAGAATTGTCTGGGAATAGTTGGAGGATCATGACCAAGTAAAGTACTTCTCTGTCCCCCTAATTCCCCAGACTCAAACCCAATCAAACACCTTTGGGATCACCTTGATTGTCATCAAGCACCTTTCAGCAGCCGTTGAATGCAATGAAGCCTGCATGGCTCCAGATACCTGTGACAATCTTCCAGCATCTTATTGAATCACTCCCTCGCTGTTCATGCTTCAAGAGCTGGTTAATCTGGATATTAGCTAGTGGTCATAATAAAGTGACTTGACTGTGTAAAACATATTATGGATGTTTTTCGATTTGAATCAAATTAAAGAACATTCATAACTATAGCAAATGTGGTTTATAAAAATGTTTGCAAAACAATCATTGTGAACATGTTAATAAAAAGTACTTATTAATTATTCAAATATTTTTAATTTTTGAATTTTGTTCCTTTGAGTACTTCTGGATCTACTAGTGAAAACACCATCTCAAACAAAAATACCCATGGTTCTAATCAGACTCAATTCCAACTTGCAAATACAATTTAAATAAAATCCAAACACACTCAATATAGAACATATAATGAAAACAAACAACAAAAAATTTAAAATTTGATACAATATATAATTTATAATTTGCATACTATTTTTAAATAATTTAATTACTATAACATTAGAAGTATAAGAATCTGAATAACAACTAGCAACATATTCATATGCCAAATGAAAACTGGTAAATTAAAATTCACTTTGGACAAATATTCAGATTTTGGCATATGAAACTTTAATTAATTAATTTAATTCAAATTTAATAACTATTAAAGTTCTCAGAAGACTATAGTATGTCTACTTGTAACATTCCATAATCATAAAATCACATAATTAGCTAAATTTTAATTTGTTGACTTTCAGCAATGTATGATAACATTATAAAAGAAATTTACCATTTTTTAAATCTTCTGGTCTAATTCCACTGACAGCAGTTCTGTAGTCAGTAATAGTTTCCTTTGGTTTCACGTATTTGTCATATATACAGAATCCCAGAGAATTTACTATGGACACTCTGGCAAGCATTGAATCTTTGCCATCTTCACCTACTCCCACCATTTCACAATCCATTGCTACCACTTTGGTTATTTGACTAAAAATATTAAAGTAATAAAGTATTTAATAAATTTTTAAAATTAACATATGCAATAATTTTACATTAAAAAATATATATATATATACTTGTTTACTGATTTTTATCAATATTTGTCATTTAAATTTATATTCATAGTATTGCTATCATTTAAATATTGTTATTAAGTATCTGTAATTTGATTATAAAAAAGAAAAATTATTCAAATGAATCATTTAAATACATGGTAGAATCCTGATTATTTGATGTAATGTGAACTAAGGGTTGATTTACACACAACAGTGACAGTAATATTGATAAATATCACACATAGCCAATCAGAGTTTCATCTATGACACTTGTATGATTGATAGAATACAAATCACGTGTCATAGATGAAACTCTGGCTACGTGTGATATTTATCAATATTACTGCACCAAACGGTCACTGTGCCGGCATGTCACTGTTGTGTGTAAATTGACCCTAATGCTATCTTGAATAAAATGGGCAGCCATGGCCATTCAGATTAAAAATGAAAATATAAAAGATTTTTACAGTATATCACTTTTAAGCCTCTTTTTATACCTTAGTAAACTTAATCATATATATGAACAACAATTTTTGCATAATTTATTATATAACAAATATATACAATCAGAATAAAAATGTATATTAATGCATTTGAATATAAAAGGTTTGTCTCACATTGAAGTTAAATAATAAAATATAACAGAAACAAATAATTTTATAATACATGTTATCATTTTAAACTTTCTTTTATAAATTACAATGTAAGAATAGTAGTGTATTCACAAACAGATTTGCCTCAGATAATGCTTAACCTTGGTTAATTGGGATTCCACAGTATTTAAAAATTAGAACTATCTTTTATTTTAATTCAAATTTAATAAATATTTTGAATTTCAAATAAATAATTAAAGTGTTATTCCTTTAAAAAGAAACATCAACAAATTTAGTTCACTGGGGTGCAATTTTCAAATTGCAGACCTATAAATCCCCACTGGCATCCATCTATCTGTCCTTCCTTAATCTTTAGAATGGAGTTAGATGAAAGTCAAGACCAGATATGGAAAGCTTAGGGGCAAGAGACCTTGCTATATGAACTTCCAAAAATTCACATTATTTCAATTCAAAATTTTTCTAGAATGAGTTAGCTAGATGACCACATGACTATTGTTAACAGAAAAAGTATGATGTACATAATTGCAAGACACTACTACACTCAAGAGTATATATTTTAAATTAAAAAATTAAAAAGTATGATTAAAAATTTCAGCCTGGCATTGTGACAATGTCACAGTAAATAATTGTTACTTGTTTTAAAGTCCATTATATTGGAATTTGTAAATCCAAAAGTCAAAACTACTGCATAATCTATGCTTCTTCCAAATACAATCAAACCTCAATTTAGCACCACCATTTTCTCTGAAATATGGCACTAAACTGAAGTATCTCAAACAATAAGATTTATATATAAAGTAACAAGTTTATGTACTGCACAAGTTTAATGATGTTAGTTTGAATGTCATATAATATGGTGATATCAATGTTGTTTGCCATGCAAAATTATACATTTAGAAATTTATAGGTATGAAAGGATTCACTACTAAATATTTACGGGAAGAACCATTTATGACTAATCATTGGTGCTCTACAAGGTACTAATTAGGAGCATGCTATATTCAAGTTTGTATAACTTATTTTAAACAAAATTCTTTCCAAAGAAGCAATTTCTATATTTATATATACATCTTACTTTGTTTGCTGTCCTGATCTAACAAGTGTATCATTTGAAGAATTTTCAGATTTCCTTTGAGACAAATCAAGTAAATCTTTATCAACACCATCAAACCAAATTTCATCATCTTGAGTAGTCCTGAAAGAATTATTTCTAATTAGTTTTATATAATAATAAAATAAAAGTATAATAAAATGTCATATTTTACTAAAGTAATAAATGAAAATAACTATAGTTAATTTTAAGAAGAATAAGAGAAAGAAAAAAATTTTAAAATATGATTTAATTTCTTATTTAATACTTTATTACTTTAATAATAAATTAAAATTAAACTTTCTAATTAGAATTAATAATGTAAAATGCCTATAATAAAATTTCTTAAGTATATTTGTTTAAATAAAAATTATTTTATATCATTATTCTATAAGAAATTTTAAATTAATATTTACATTAAAATATTTGAAAATTTATAGTTTATTAGATCATAAAAAATTTTATAATTTGTCAATTATATCTATATATATAAAAATGAATGTATGTCTGTGTGTCTGTCTTATGTCCTTCATGCATTACCACACCGTTTATCCGATTGCCATGAAACTTTGGGAAGTTGTTTAATATACTCTCGCGCAGGTTTGTGGCATAGTACGATTGCCATAAAACTTAGGAAAGTTTTTTAATACACTCCCGCGAAGGTTTCTGGCATAGTACATTTAACCCACGATAGATGGCGCGAGTTTATACGAGTGTATCGAGACAGTGTGTTCGATCGATTTCAAATTGTGAAGACCATTTCCCCCTATTTCAAAAAATATCTCTATATATGCATTTGTGAACTGTTATTTACGATATTTGTAATAATTTTTGTTTAATCACTTTATTTCAACTTTTTTTTGCTAATTATGTATTCGCTCGAACTTCGTTAAAACCTTAACTGTACCCCGAACAACAACCGAAGTTGTAGGAAGAAATTCGCGTATTTTACCGATCTAGGTATCCCCCTTTTCCAAATTTTAATATCGACTCAAAATAATTTAAAAAGACAAATTACAATAAAACGGTTTATTATCCAACTATCAGAAATTTCACAACATGCCAAGGAAGAGAGGAAGGAGCAATTAAATAATTAAAATTATAAAGGATTAAAAAAAATATATAAAAATGGGGAATATCGCACTTCTGACAATCGCTGCAAGTGTGTGGGCTAAATTTGGAGAATCCGTGCTTCTCGCATGGACAACTGTATGTGGCCGGCTCACGCGTCGGAAAACCTTCCGATTTATTCGTGTACGCACCAGACGGAAAAACAAAAAATATCGTGTATCCACAAACACTCCAATAAATAAATAGAATTGAAACGACACTTTGAAATGTTTTCCCGATGAAAATGAATAATAATAATAAGTTTCAATAAAAATAATAAAATGTAAATTGAATTTTATCATAACGAGTTTGCTTGAATTTCCTTTCTTCTGAGATCGCAGCAATGCGCGACGGGTAAGCTAGTTTTAAATATAATTCAATTCAAAATGTATATTAAATAATTATTATTATGCTTTAAAATCATTATCTATAGCTTAGTAACCAATAGTTATTTCAAGAAACATATTTCACTTATATTAAGTAAGTCTTTATATAATAACCAATCTTTTCACTGAAAATATAATTTGCCTTCACTCAAGTGCTACAGTGCTAATTATAGTATAATTTAGTTCAAGATAGTATAACTTTAACTTGAATATTGAATTCTACCTCTATCTCTGTTTTTCCATCTGACAATGCTCTAGATAGTAAAATAGTCACATATCCTATTTTTACCAAGAAAGTATGAATTTAATTCTTATTTGGACTGTTTTTCTTCTGCTCAATGACTTCTCTGAGGGAAAAGAGTGATTAAGAAATAAATGTTTTAAACAAACCATACATCATGTTATGGCCATTGGCCCAATCTCAATTACCTATTATGAATGACTGACTCTGTAATGGGGTTGGCACGATGACAAAAAATGAGGCCCAATATAACTAGGTGAGATTCCAAATTGAAACTTGGAATCTCACTTAGTCAAGTTTTTGGAATAATAGTTAGAAACTTTTGTTACATCTACCTGCAACTTTTTTATTATTTAGTCTTTGATTCTGTTGATCCAGCAAGAGGGTCAAAAGCATCTTGCCATCTAGATGGCTCAGTAAAATCAAACAATGAAAGCAAGAATCCAAGAACTATATATATATGCCAATATCAACTTCTGAACATTTATTTATTCTCATATATTCGCAAATTATGCAAGAATGTAACACATACTCACAATACAAATATTACATATTTCTTAACATACAACAAAAAGCAGACAGATTAATTTTTGTATTATTAGTGCAATATTATAATTATTTCTTAGCAAAGCATCTTATATATTTGCTTTCATTACTGTAATTTGGTTTAAAGTTCTTAATATTTAAAAATATTAATTTTAAAAAATTCAATTTCTGAAACTCTAATTATCTCATATTTATATTATACTTAATTTATAATCAGAAATTCTTTAAACATTTTTTAATTATTATTTTTTGGATTTAATGTTGTTATTTTGTTCATTATTAAGTAGTTTACTTCTTTTAATGTTATTCAAATTAAAATGTATCCAATGTTTTAAAATAATATTAAATGCTAAATCATTAAATAAATTATTGTGTTTAATTGACAAAATTAAATAAATCTTTGGTATTATTAGTTTCATTTTCTGTGATGTATAGCTTATAAAATTTGGCTTCATCTTATGCCAGATATCCTTTCCACTGTTGATTCTCCCTTTTTTTGATTTAGCCTTAGGAAAGGCCATACTCAGCAATGGGGTTAAATGACAGGATCTGGCAATTTCACAATGTCTTCAATTCAAGTATTATCTGGGCCCCTTGCTTAACATCAATGATCTGACAAGAACCAATGCATTCAGCAAAAAACTACCCATTGCCCAAATATCATGAAATAACTACAGTAGAGCTTTATTTATCCGAATCAATTGGGGACTGGGGTTGTTCGGAAAATTGATATTTCGGATAACCAATTATGTATGAAAAAATATATTAGCCTATCCCATGTTGAAATTTTTCTCTGTTGCGTGTCACTTCACGTTGAATTTTCGTCGATGTTAAGCCTAAGTAAACTTTTTAAAATAATAATTGTGACTATTGTATCGTTAAAAATTATTTCTTTATTTTGTACAAACAAAATAAATATATTGAAAAATATAAAAACAATAAAAAATTATACTTCAGAAGTTAATTTAGTAATAAAAATGTAAAATATTTGAGTAGCCCAAGACATAGCCAAAGATTGCAGCGCCACAGCACTGGCGAAAATTTAAATTTGTTGACTGGAATTCTTTTGGATAATTGACGTTTCAGATAATTGACTTTCGGATAAACGACACTCTACTGTAACAATATTAATCATATTATAGTCTATGTTTTATGAGAATGATATGATGCTTTTTATCAAAAGTTTTTCTTGCACAGTTTAAAATTCTGTGAGAATCGGGGTTTATGCATCAAAGCCTAAACTGTTTTCCGACAACGGGGCGGTGAGTCCCGCTCACAGGGTCAGTGGATGGCAATTTAGGAGGGCGAAAATCGAGTGGGAGGTCGCGGATAAGTGTGCGGATAAGGTGTTGACCGAGTATGAGTAATCCACATATTTAAAATAACATATATATATTTTTAATTAACTAATGATATATATGAAAAGGTTATAATAATTAAAAATACTACTAATCTCTAGCCGAGGTTACAATAGGCGGTTTTCATGCATCTCGCATATTTACGATAGAGGATCCTCTTGGATCCTCTATTCTTAGATCCTCTTAATATTTATTTAGGTATTAGCCCTAGTCCATCTGAGAGAAGGGAGAAAGTTCTACTTACTAAGTTGTAGCTCGTAGAATCTAATCGTGTTGTCCGTCTTTAGCGGTCAGCGATGAGGATTGTCAATCCGTTATTTCCTTCTAAGTTGGAGGCCACTCCGATACTGGCCGGGAGCCCTCTTTATACTGATTTCGAGGGGGTGAGAACTATGACGTTATTCATGATTTATCCGCACACCTGCTAGTGTGTTGATATTTGGATCTAGCTAGTTCGGACAAATGACTCAGCAAAGTTTGTTTAATGTATTGTTATTGGTGTCAAAATGATATGATTTTATGATATAAATTCCTATAGGTTTGATGGCTCTCATCCATAAATTAACAATCATTTGACAATAATTTCTTTAACCTGGTCAACTATTTAGTTATTGTTTATATCAAACGTCGAGTTTGACTATGAACAAGGCGATTTATTACCGTAACCACGTGTTACGTGCAACCAAGAGGTGACAAGAAATATCTCTTATTCCCCTCTTGTTGATACTAACGTCTATAGAATAACTGTTAAACAAATAGAGATGATTTCTCTTATTGATATTTTAACATTCTCCGTTTTTTTCTTGTTCGAGGAGAGCGTCTCGGTCATTGACCGTAGAAGTCCCTTTTCTCTTTTACTAGGAAAATTCCTAGATTTGTACTGATCTAAAACAGAAAAAGGGTTTCGGACCTTCACAATTCATTACATTGATTGCAATCAAACCTGGAGATAGTTTTTATCTTTTGAGCTATGTTGTAAGCAATTCATGTCACACTCATATTTTGTTTGCAATCATGTCATAAAACAAATAAAAAGATATTTGAACCAATCTACTTTGGCAAATTCATGCCAAAAAGATGAGTTGAAAAGAAATTCATAAATTTTCTCACAATTTGGATTAAATATGTTTTTTCTAGTGCTGAATTACTTAGCAATTAATTAATAACAGCATTAGTAATATAGTTTGATATAATTTGGCAACTGTTTTTGACTTTAATATGTTTTTTCCTTTCTCTAGATACACTTCTCAAAAGTAAAATTGCAACACCACAAAGTAATGTATGTACAAATTGTATTTCCATGTACAGTTGACCCCCCTTGTTATTTTGTTCATTATTAAGTAGTTTACTTCTTTTAATGTTATTCAAATTAAAATGTATCCAATGTTTTAAAATAATATTAAATGCTAAATCATTAAATAAATTATTGTGTTTAATTGACAAAATTAAATAAATCTTTGGTAT